TATCTACATCTTCCCACATCACTCATCTTTGTTTTGTTTTGGGTTGTTTTTGTTCCCCCCCTTCTTACTTCTTAAACAGTGTAGGCCAGGAATAATAAACTAAACAGCATAATCTCTGCTGCTGTTGTATGAATGCAGCAGGCCAGATCTGGTCATTCACAAGTTGATTTACTCACAGAGCTGGCTTCCAACGGGTGCCTACAGCCTGTGCGACTAGAACAGCTTGCAGGGGTTGAATTTGAACTTGCTGGAAGAAACACTGACTAGCCTTTGAGTGAGAGATGCTCAAAAGATCACCATCAGAGATTGAAGCTGCCTGGACTTGGGGATTATGTCGTTTTGTGATTCAGAAGGAAAGGAATTTATAAAAATGTCAATAAAACTAATAATATTTGGCTATAATTACATGGGTAATAAAGCTGCCTGATTTTGCTGCAGCATAGTAACGTGCCAACCTCAGAGGCAGGAAGTAGCCTGGGGAACCACCTATTAGTCCAGTTGTGTTGCCAGGAAGCGAGTCAGTGTGTGCTGCTGACCCAGTGGCAGGACCACCTGCCACTATTAGGGCACTGGGCAGGGACCCGGTGGAGTAGGGTGGACCCAGGTTCCCCAACCCCTTGGGTGGACCCAGGTCGCCCAACCTACTCACCCTAGGCTGGAAGTCCTGTGCCTTATTTGTGACCTGCCCCAGCCAGGAGGCTGTGGGCCCCTAGACTGTGATTGCTGTGTGTTCCAGCCCAAAGGCTGAAGCTAAGGACTGCTTGCTGCTCCACCCTATCTAGAGGGCAAGAGCCTCAGACTGTTACTTGCTGTCTGCCCTAGACAGGAGGCTTTGAGCTAAAGACGGCTCCTTGTTCTGTCCTGCCCAGAGGGCCAGGCCTATAGACTATGTGGCTCAGCCCCAACCAAACGGCCAGAGCCTCTAGTCTAGAGGGAATAGACAGTGCTCAATAAGTTTTGCTCCCCGGGGGAATTCTGTGCTACTACACAGGCACAGAATTCATATCGTCTGCAGATTTCTTTGCAGATTGCTTCCCCTGCAGAAAAATGGGGAAGCAAAAAAATGTTCAGGGGACACATGCCCCTCCCCCGATAGCCCGAGTGCTTCTTTTCGGGTGCCTGGAGCAGCTGGCAGAGATGTAAATCACCATAGGGGTGGAGGGGCTGGGCGTGCGTATGTGGGGAGATGTTAATCACGGCCAAGGGGCAGGGCTGGGTGGGCGTGTGTGCAAATGAGCAAGAGGTTGTATCCCTCTTGCTCTCTATTGCAGACACCCAGCGTAGAGGTTGTTTGGAGAAAGGTGTGAGGCAGGCTCTGTCCCCTGAGGCAGAGCAGAAATGTAGCAGCCATCCTGCATAGTTGTTTGTTAGTTAATTGGTTCCTATTGTTAGTTAATAGGTCCCATTCTTAGTCAATTTCCCCAGGAGCATAAAACACATTGTAAAAGTTTTAAGGCTCCTTTACATTCCCAGGGTGGTGTAAACGAGCCTTATTGTAAATGACAGTAAGGGACGCCTCAGACAGGAAGATCTGTGTGCTTTCTGGCTTTTTTTTATTCCTGTGCCAGAGAGGTACGATGGGGTTAGATTACAGTTTAGGATCTATTTTACTTACACATTTAAAGAAAAAAAAGACTTTGAGGGCAAATAAAATGTTTATCGAACAGTCAATAACATGTCAGGGCAATCAGAACCAAGCACTTTCCAAAGTTTCCAGCCAGGATTATAACTGGAATGCAGGGTTACCAAGTATTTAAAACTTAACTCTCATGTGTTTAGGTAATGCTGAATAGTTATCGTGACTTTTTTCTGTATTGTAGTTTAAACAAATTACCAAAATAAATTGGTTTGATTATATTGCATTATTTTGACAAATATAAAGAATTTTGCAGAACTTTTGACTTTTTGGCTCAGAATTCAGACTTGGGTATCTTCCACTAGCTTAACCCAGGAGTAAATGTTAGAGGCAAACAGTAGAAGGGGGATTGGAGATTGTATTTTATAATGGAGATAAAATGGAAGCTCTTCCACAAATAACTTAACTCCTGGTGATCTTTATGCTTTTCAAAGGCTTAGGCAAATGGCACTCAACTTTGAATAGCCACTTGCCTGGTTTATACTTGTATGTATGTTGTCTTCTTTTATATTTGCAGGTCTTTTGGGTTTCTTTGTATTCAGTTATCTTATTGAAATATGGGACCAAATTCTGCTTTCAGATAACCAGTGTAAATCAGGAATACACCAACTGCAACAGGACTGGGCCATAATCTGTAGCTTAATGAAGTAAAAGAAAGGTTTCAGAGTAAGAGCCGTGTTAGTCTGTATTCGCAAAAAGAAAAGGAGTACTTGTAGCACCTTAGAGACTAACCAATTTATTTGAGCATAAGCTTTCGTGAGCTACAGCTCACTTCATCGGATTGCTTTTCTGTATGTTTTGGAGAAGCAACCTGCGCATGAGCCTTTCTTGGGGAGCTGTGTTGGTTCCTGAGGCCAAAGTTCCTCTCAATATTGTTCTCATCTGAATAAAGCTGTTACAACGTTTTAGAACCTGTTTTGGTCTCTTGTCTTATTAAAGCGCAGCCGCTAATAATTAAGGTGACAGATATTTGTCTTGTAAGAGATAAGAACAACTTCATCATCAAATGATGCAAAATGGATAAGACGCACCAAAGAATTGTGCCATAGCTCCCTGGCATTGAGTTGCAGTGGTTGGTTTGAATTTTTGACATTGCATCAATAAATTGTGATAGCTCTATTCAATGATAAAGTAACTGTTGAGCCCCTCAGTTTCTGGGAGGGTGCGGGAGAGACTTGGAGGCATCTCATCTATTTCAATTCCCCATTGTAGATGCTGTAAGCAAAGGTGCCCTTGTTGGCACCTTGATTACTGAGATGGAGATAAGGGGTGTTCATTCTCTTTTCCTCTGGCTGTGGGAAGGATGAGTGGAACCTTACAGTTAATTTAGATTCCTCACTCTCCACAGAGTCTAGCTGCTGGCGTCTTGCATGCTACCTTCTTTGTCACTCCCTGTTCTGTTTTGTATACAGAGCTATAGTACAGCTATAATGCTATAGCATTCCATTTGCTCTACCTTGAATCTCCAGCAGAAAGAGAAGGGCAGTGATGAGGCCCATGGAATCTTTCAGTGCCACATGTAGGACCAAGAAGAGATGCAGGCAGCACGTGAGCCACTTTTAGGTCACTCCTGTAGCGACCTGTGTGGAACTTGGAGGGTGGAGCGCAGGTTGCAGGAGGAAAGAGTTTGGAGGAGGCACCAGCAAGTTAGTCTGTGTGCACATGGCTTTAGTGCTAACTACAATTGCAGCAACTCTATAAATAGTTCTCATGATAAAGAGCTGGTTTGGTTTTAGCAACATTAAATCCTCTCATATTATTACCTAGTATATAGTACGTGAAACAACTCCCACAAGACAACTAACCCTATGAGGGACTGGAGAGACTGTGACATTTACATCACAATGTTTCCCTTCTGTTGTGCTCTACAGTGATGCAAATGTCAGAAGTGCCAGGATCTGTGGAATCATTCTTCAGCACCCCTCCGTTAATCTAGTCATGTCTATTTATTAATTGTTTAATCTCTTATTAATGTTTGGCAATTTGTTCTTATGATATTGTACTGAGCATACTCAATTTTGCCAGGGATTGCTCCATCAGTGTGGAACGCACCTCCTTGGTCTCTATTGTTAATTATATGAAGTATTTCAGCAAGAGTTAAAATAATAGCTACCGTACTTAATACCAATGTAAAGGACAAAGTGATGTACATGGCCCTTAATAGTAAAGTAAGAATGATGGATGACACCGTGCTCCCATCTATTATATGTTTCCACCAGGGGTCAATGGCCTGATGCCTCAGAGAGAGGAGAACATGCCATAAATACACCTACTCAGTTATTCAATCGTAGGGGAAAGATGTGGGGATACATTTCTTCCTGACCCCCTTGAGTGAACAATGTGAGGTTGATTTCACTTTTATCGCTGTTAGTCACTTTGCCCCTTTAAGCATAAGGACTGATCGCCCTCATAGCCTTGTCTTGGTAGTGCAACTACTGGTACCATTTAGATTTCTTTCGCTGGCACAGCTGCAAATAATACATACATGTTAATAAAAGTATTCAATCCCTTATTGAATTCCTGCAGCATTGTTAGTGCCAATGATTTTCTCTGGCAGTGACTGCTGATTTGCTGAAAAGTGGCATTCAAGTTACTAACCTAGAAGAAAGAAAGTCAATTCTCCCGGCTCTGCAGAAAAAGTTCTGATGATTGAAAGGCCAACTGGCAGCAGCCATGGAGTGCCTATCATAAAGGCAATCTATCATAAAGATGAACCTCAATATTCCTGCTCCCTGCAGCTTGCTATATTGGAACATTCCAATGGTCCATCTAGCCTGGACTAGCTGTATTCATAGGCAATCAGGACTGCTAAACAAAAAAAAACAACCCTCAGAGTTTATAGTACTGAACTGCGAAGTACTATACCACCGGGGGAATTTCTTCTTTAGCCCAGCTGATTAGTTGATTGTTTATGCCTATTTGAGCAAATCATGGAACTGTTGATCAGTTTATACCTTGATTCATATGGACTAGTAGCCCTTGTAGTTTTATCTTGCTAGGGTAACTCCTAATTCTTTGTTTTTGTATGTCTTCAGTCCTTTTGTAGTTGCAGAGAAATATGTCATGGAAGAATTAACAGTCTCAAAATGAGCAAATGTGCTTTGCTTTCTTTTTCATACTTGGGTCTTCCACTAGCTAAAAAATGAAAGAATGAAAAAATCCCATCATCCCTGCGATCATGTACTTGAATTAATAGGTAGTGATGGTAGAATTCCCAACTTTAAGATCTGTTTTACACTAGAAGGCATCTGCACGTTTCACGTTTTTGTCTCCCTTTTTTCTGTTATTTTCCCAGCTCCCCACTCTCCCAACCAGGAATACATAGTAAGGGACGAGTACACAAAGCTCAGTGAAACTCCCTTTATTTATTTCACTTGTGTTGTTGCTGTTGTTATGGAGGGAAAGAGCAAGATAACAAAAGGAACGCTGTAAAATAAAATTGTACCGGACCCAAACATTTTGAACACATGACAATCCCTTCCCCATGCAAAGACGCTTCCTCTTCTCTGGCTCTGCCTTTCCCTTGCATTCCCCTGCAGCACAGACATTCTCTCTCTGTAAGCCAAATTCATCTGTGATGTCGCTTCACTGAAGTCGTTGGACTTACACCAGGGACAACTTTGGTCCTCTGTCTCAGGCGATTACAGAAGGAATAAATTGGTCACGCAGGCAAAGTATCTGACAATTAGTGCGCTGAGTTATTCCTGGCAAACCAATAAGAAAGATTTAAAATAAAAATCCCCAAACAGGTCTTTTATTTAATGTAAGGCCTAAGAATCTACTGGGAGCTGATGAATACTGCCCACTAACTGTACAAAGTATAGGTAGCATGCCGTCAAATATCAAAATATCAGAGGGAATGCCGTGGAAATAAATAACTTCTAATATAAACAGATGAGAACATATCAAACTGTTACCTCTTTAAACATATTGTAAATTTAAAAAACAGTCCTTCTACACAATAAATATTAAGAAACCATTGACATAGTTGAAATGTACTCATATAAATTAACAACTTTAATTACATTAGCCAAACAGACATTGGTTAAAGCACTGCATGTAATATGCAAAATAATAATAATAATAATAATAATAATATCAACAACAAAACACAAAATGATAAAAACAAAATAGGCTTCATAATATCTTGGCTTTCATAATTTATATATATGTATATCTATACTGGGGGTGGGTGTACATATATATATAGTAGATATATATAATACACATATATACATATACATATATATCTTCAACCCATCATCAGTATATGGTTTTCAAAGTGTTTAAATACCAACCCCCATTAAGAATTAATACAAATTCATTGTATCTCAAAAAGAAATTGATATATAACCCAGAAGTTGTTTGTTTCTGCCCATGGAAATATGAATTGTAATTGTTCATATAAGATCAAAATCCTATTTCTCTTACTCAGACTGCATAGCACATTACTCCACAAGTAGTCCCTTCAAAGGCAATGGCACCAGTTGTGGAATAAGGCTCTATTAAATATTAGCAAGTGGCTCAGAAACTTGTTCTTACATTGACTCATATTATTGATTATGATTAACGTGAGGTTTAATTTAAAGGTTTTAATAACTCCAACACATGCCTTTTTATCTACATTTTAGGAACATATTCTGCCACAGTTCCTCATGTTGAGTAGTAATTACTAAATGTGTGCCCCCACTGAACTCAATAGGACTATTTGGAGTAAGAGTAGCCCTTCATTTTTTTATTTAGCATATAGACTTCTATGGGTGATTAAGCTTCTCCAACTCAGAGGATGCTGCTAATCGCACCTCAAGTTTGTAGTGTTACACGTACATTAACTTGATTTATGGGGATTTATGATTCAGTACTAGTTTACAGTGATTGTTAAAGGACTGCTCCTATTGAAGTCAATGGAAAAACTCCCATTCCCTTCAATGGGCACAAGTTGCGGCCCTAGATCAGCATTCTCCTGTGAAATGTAAGTGCAGAAAAATCCCAAAAGGAATCATAACTATCTGCAAGCCTTTCCTTTTACTAAAGCCCCAGACAATCACAGGTAAATACATTTGTCCTCACTAATACATATCTCAATGTTGTACTTAAAACAGGCTCTCCAAGTTGGATGTACTGTTAATATCTGACATTTGTAGATTTAAAAAAAAAAAAAACAACAAGGAAGGGGGCAGCATTTTGGAAGGTCTGAGGCATTTTACAGCACGAGTGCTGGAGAGATATTGAAGAAATTTATTTTTAATTTTCAATTTCACAAGGAGTGGCTTATATGGAGGGGAATACATTAGCATTTAAAAGCCTTTTCTTTTTCTTTTCTTTTACTATGCTGCTACCTAAAAAGAGAGGTTATTTTCAAGATCACATCCCCTCAAAGAACTTGTCAAATTTATAATGCTATTTTGAGGACCTGTAGATTTAATTAAAGCAAATTATTAGGGGGGGGGAGAGGGTTGATCAGTCAGTCTTGATTAACATCCCAGTTTCTGATTTTATTTTATCATATAGGTTTTCGTTTCCCTCTTCTTTAAATAACTCTGACCACAAATCAAAACCCCATGATTGAGTCTAGAGTTGAAGGGAGAGAACTTTTTAAAATTTGGAAACAGGGCGTACATATGAATTCAAGCTACTGAGCAGGGCTTGGGAATAGTTACTTATTGACTTGAAAACCTCCCACTCTTTCCAATCATGTAACCCACCCACCACATCTAAACTCCTCTTTTGTTTCCTCACTTGAAAATTTTCTCATGCTAGTTTCATGTTTTCCAGAACCAGTCCCCTTTCACCACATATAAACTTGTGGAGGGAGTTGGCTTTTTGAGCTATACTACATTAATTTTTTTTTTTAAATTAGACTCTGTCTGCTCTGGCCAGGAAAATCATGAGCCCAATCCTACTCCAATTGAAGTTTATGGGAGTTTTGCCATTGTCTTTAATGGCAGAAGGATTGGAGTTCATGCCAGCAGTTGCTATCTAATCAAACTTAAAAATAGCATATGCTAGCGGGTATTAACCATGCTGTAAATTGGTTCACAAAACATTTCTATAGTCTCATGTAAGTGGGAGCTAGTTGGTGTTGGATGTGGCATCATTCATGCAAATACAGTTTCTCTCCCCACACACTGTTTGCAATAGACCAAAGCTAAGCCCCAGTCTGAGAAGTCAATGGGACTACTGACATGAACAAGCTTTCCAGGAGGGCTAGATGTACAGTTTTAGAGCCTGATCTGAAGCCCATTGAAGTCAATGGGAATCTTTTCACTAACTTCAATAAACTTTGGATCAGGCCTCCAGTGTTCCAGAATCCGAGTTGCCTCCTATTGAAATCAGTAGTAATTTTGCCACTCACTTCAATGGATGCAAGATCAGGCACTTGGTTTGTTTAATTTGTAAAGAGAAATTATTTATGTATTCTTTTTTCCATTGGCAGTTAGTAACCCCTTAAAGAAAAATACAAACTCCTGGGAACAATTTAAATCAGAAAGCCTTGATATCTTATAGAATACTTTAGTGACAAATTTAGTGTTTACCTAATTGTTACAATTTTTACAAAGGTTTTTTTTTTTTGCAAACTGCAAACAAGTCTGTAAAAAATGCATCGTATAAAAAGTACATAAATGTATAACCCATTAGCTGTACTATGCAATCTAAATACTATGGAATAAATTAGATAGAAAACTTAGCTATAAGCACATACATTGATATTTATTCAACAGAGGAATTTTTTTTCCTTTTTTTTTAAAATCTCAATCGATTCATACAAACGTGGGTACACCCACACCCACCCACACACACACACACGGAGTTTTGGCTGACAAAAATGAAGGCCCTGATTACACTTCTTAAACATGGTTCTTGCCATAAAGGTGCTAACACACTGTATCCCTGTCCAGTGTCGACAGGGCTTAATTGTGCTATAAAACTGTTTTTTTTACAAACCGTGCTGTCGCCAAGATGGGGAACCATATTCGTGCTTTTCTAGCAAGAAGTGTTTTTTTAAGCACAGCTCACTAGGATGTTGCTAACATGGGGGCTTGGTCCTGCAAACCTTTACTCACACGGGTAAGAACTTGCAGCATCAGGCCTCATGGTTTCCAAACTCAGTGTAGACAAGGCCTTAAGGTTTCTCCCATTCCCTCTAACCTTTTCCCCTACCCAACAACAAATGTTTTTACTTCAGCATTCTTTTAAATATGACAGTGATAGAATTTTAAAAACCTATCTACCTATGCCCTATGGGTTGGACCCTTCAGGTTAGGTGTTGACACTGAAAATTAGGTCTTATAGTGTGCAAACTCATCAAGAGTCGCCAGACTGGAGAGCGATGGTTGAGACAGCCAGTCTGTTATTAAAGACTGCATTTGAAATAGAAATAATACCATTGCTTTAATTTTACTCTGTGTTCTACAGGTGTGAGGGTGGAGAGGGCCCAAAGCTGCATGCAGGGTGACATCAGATCTTGCTAAGTGGTTCACTGGAGCTTTAGATTTCTTGTTACGAGGGATTGTTTTAAATGTGTTCCTTTCAATTCATTAAAAAAAATAATCTTTTAATACACTGTGCTTTGCACACAAACATTCATTGCTTTAAGAACATTAGGGTGAAGCCTGAAGTGCTTATACCATGTGTGTATATATACATATATATACACACACACACACACATATATATATATCCCCCTTGTATGAAGTTGTTTTCCTACAATGTACAGCTGCTGTACATCAGGGAAAAGTCTTAGTGTCATGAATGTGAAAGGAGTAACAATTATACCATAGATGGGTCTGAAATAGAATCCTGGACTCAAGCACCCAGGACTTTCTAGCAGTTTGAAATCCGCAGCTAAACCCAGATCCCACTGTTATGTTTTGGGCAATATTTCAATTAAACTAGTTAATGGTTGTATATCAGCCTGAATGTAATCAACCCCATTGTCCCATTAATCTAAACCCTGACTTATTACTTATGACCGGTACCAACCACAAACAGACTGTTTAGAGGCTCACATAAATGTCTTTGGTGTATGTCTCTATTCTTTTAAAGGTACAAAATAATAATTATTATTATAATATAAATAACTATTTTGTGTGCTGTAGCAGTTCTTGTATAGCCCACAATAAGTGCAGCTCTCAACCCCTCCTACGCCCAATCAACCTCCCTCGAATATACTTGTTAAATAAAGATTAGACAGGTCAAACACCATTGTAGTGCAAATAGTAAACGATTAAAAATTTTTTTTTTTTTTTTTTTTTTACAAAATATAGAAATGTTCGGCTCCAGTAACTGGACAAACATGTTCCTTTCAAGTATCTCTCATTGAAACAAAAAAAAAGTTACTTCCATTAAATAAAGTCTTTCTGGGTTTTTTTTTTTTCTTTCTCTCTCAGGTAAACAGTTTCAAACCAACTAGGTTGCATAGTTCTAATGTTGTAAGCACCTTAACGAAATGTAACTTTGTATTCTTTCTTTCATTCTTTTTCATTTTTTTTCTTCTTTTTTGTTGTTTTTTTTTTTGTTTTTTGTGGGGTTTTTTTTTTTTTTGCAAATGTAGTGCAGAAGATGAAGGTGTGAACACCTGCGCAATATTGTCCCTTTACCAACATAAGTAAGTATATGTATGTGTGTATTTGTGTGTGTGTGTTCACGTATGTATGTGTGTATTTATGTGTGTGTGCTCGTGTAAACACACACATGCACACACAGGCATATATATATATATATATACACCCACACACACACACACACAAACATACATACAGTACATACACTCTCATTATGTCCTTGGTAAATTGGGGGGAGGGGAGAGGGAAAAGTGCCAGTGAATGCAGTGTTCATACACATGGCTTTTCTAGGATTTTCAATGCCGTTTTGGACTCAGAGTCCAAATTGCTGCAGGTTAGGCAAGCTGCTACCAGGGCTTGAACTGATGGGTAACTAGGAGAGGGAACACAATTCCCCTTGTAACAAATAATGTTTAACATACTATATAATAAAATATGGAACATATTGAAAGGAAGGGGAATCTCCCTCGCCACACTGCTATTCAAAAAATTTCTCATTCAAGCCCTGTTTGTTTATGCACTCTTTTTCTTCCTTTGTCTGTCTGTAATCTTTTTGAACTCCATCTTTTGTTTGTTTGTTTTAAATTTGTTTGATTTGGAAAGATTAAACCATAGCCGGGTCTTTCCTCTACTGCAGCTTCTTTTCAATTCTCCACACAGACAGGAGGCCCTCGGTGTGGGTGTGTGTCTATGAGCAGCCACACTCCTCCACAATCATATTCTGAATGTCCTTCTTGATGATGTTCTGCCCGTCGTCATAGTATAGCATGGACATTGGCCGTAGCTTGGTGGGCACACAACATGACTTGAGATTGGAGAAGGGGCTGTGGCCCCTCATGCGGTAATGGTTGATGACCGTGGAGTGGAAGGACAATGATGAACCAGATGTGCCCGCTATGTGGCTGGGGCACTCACCTTCACAGTAGTTGGCATGATAACCTGTGGGAGCAATGATCCAGTCACTCCATCCAATGTCCTTGAAGCTGACGAAGAACTGCTTCTTGCAGCAGATGTTGACCTTGCCGTCGCACTCCAGGCCCCGTCTCCGTCGTTTGTGCAGGCGGTCGTCTGAATGCCGGGCAAGCATCATCAGGAAAGGTCTGTGTGACTGCTCTTTCTCCTCTTCTACTGTGGATTCTCCAACTTCCTTCTCTTTCCCTTCCCCATCATCTTCCTTTTTCTTCTTCTTGCCCAGCAGCACCAGGCTGGCTCCAGTCTCCTGGCATTGGTCACAGGCAATCCGCACATCAAGGGAGCTCTTGCCCTGATCCAACAGGTATTGCACACTACTGGAGACAGGAAAGATGTGCCAGGTACTTTTACGGGTGTCCACCATCTTTTCAGAGATGAGAGTCTCACTTTGATCACCCTTCAGCTCTCCATCCTCCATTTCTTCTGCTCCTTCAGAGTTGCCTTTGGGCTGTCTCTGCTGTTGATACAGTCGGATGGTCACTTTTGTTCTGCTTCGGTTGGCCTTGGAGACTTTCAGGAAGAGCCACACTTCAGCATGCTCCACTACCGATAGGTCACTGCCTTCCTTGGAAATCTCAAAGTGCAGCATTTTCTTTGCGGTGCCTGAAGTTGATAAATAAAAACAGATGGGAAGAACCGGTTAGTATGTATTTTTCATTCCTTTGATAAGTTTTTATTGTCACCAGAAGAATAAAATTCCCTAAGTTATGTTTCTATTTAATATTCTAAGTGTTCCCTACTGTGCCTTGCTAACCCCCTCTGTCTCTCACATCTCTTTGATGTTACCTTTTCTTGCACTGGAAATTCTCTATTTACTGAAGTATCGGTTTTCCTATTTTTTTATCATATAAAATTTTGTTTTGGGAGCATTAATCATACATGTGAATTCATGCAGTGCATTTAATGACAAATGGGCATTACTTGGTGTGTAGGGGTTAGTTTTGCTCGGCTTTCTCTTTTGATTGCTATTAACTGACAGGGCACGTAACCGCTGTTTTTTTTTTTTTAAAAAAAAGCCCATAAAAATATATAATACACATAAAAATCTGTGTCTAGTGATAAAAATTGGGCGGCTAGATCCATGGCCACAGAAGTCAATGGGGGATTTGCCAAAGGAAGCAGGATCTGGCCCCTATACATCATCATCGTTCTTCATTAAATTCTTACACCAAGGAAGTATATGCCAATAGTTTCAGAAACCTAGCAATACTTAAATATCTCTCTTAGCATTGAGAGATTCAGAGATCTATACATTTCAAGCATGGCTTAGTGTTCTGCAGCCAGATGCTTAATTCTACTGGACTACTAGCTATAGATGCTGTTCTTAATTTAACACAGTGTGCCCGTTGTGATTATAGTAATAGCAAATCCACCAAGAAATGAGCTAAAGAACCTTCTGGGGAAGGTTCTCTGGCATAACTATATAAACTTGCTGGGATGCCAGTGATGATGATTATGCTGAGGAGGGGGAGTTTCTTTGATACAGACCTCATATCCCTGGCAGAAGTTAAAGTGAACGGTGAGGACTGTTTTATGATTTGATCGCTAAAGCATGAAGTAGTTAAGAGAGAATGAATTGGATGGTTTTTTTTTTTTTAAACATCTGAGATGGTTTGTTTGTGTCTAAGACTATGGCATTATGATTTGTAGGAAAGCTGGATTTTTTTTTTCTAGAGAAAGAGAAGCCTAGCACTCTGGGGGCAAAGTGTTTTCTCTATGGGGCAGGATGGACAGGCAGCAGATGTTTGGAATTTATAGTTGTAAAACTTTAAAATGGATAGGGACAGATTCTGAACCCTTATTCAAACTGCATAACACCTTGCTCCACAAGTGTGGAGTGAGGTACCTTTCAATGTGAGGTAGGGTATCAAGGGCAACCACTGATCAAGACTGAAATGGTAGAACCAAAGCATCAAAAAGGTCACTTGAAAAGGGCTATTGTATCAGCGAGGCTGTTGATCCTGGCTCTTCTTCATCAGAGAATTCCACAAACAATCATTAATTGTTCTCATTAGTTCTCACAACACCCCTCAGAGGTATCCCCATTTCCTAGATGGGGAATCTGAGAGACAGTGTTTAAGTGAGTTGCCTATGGCCACAGAGGATGCCCTGTGTGAATGTAAGAACTCAAGAGTTCCTGGCTCCTAAAACCCTGTGAGCAGCCCACACTGCCTTCTTAGCTACCTGTTTCTTTCTTTTTTCTGATACAGAGATCTTCAGCTTCTCCAGATGGAATTCCCAGGTCAAAGAGACAGTAATTTCTAAATTACTGTGTGCCAGAGGGCACACTGTTTTGGTTTTTGTTTTCCTTCCCAGTGAGAGTATGAAATTGTGGACTTGAACTGTCCTTGGGACAGAAAAACATATGGATTGTATTAATTGTTTCCCATCGACTTTGCTGATACCTGTCTCCAAAGTGGGTTAAATGTGGTTCTCACGGAATTAAACAGGACTGTGGGGTAAGGTACTGCTTTCAGAGGTGTATCTTTTCTCACTTAAAATTTGTAAGAAGTTTTGGGAAAAGAGACCAGAGAGTTCTAGTGTGCCAATCCAAGCTGACAAAAGCTTTGAGATGTGAGGTTTTCTGAGAATGACAGTCACTGGATAGTGATTAAAAGGAGATGAGTTAGCCCTTTTTGCTATTGCATGTCTGGTGCTCATGTTTCCATTTGGGCAGTAAACAAACTATGGCAAAGCTGTCCGCTTTATAAGTGCAGAAAGTTTTTGATACAGATGGGCATTAACCAAAACTCCATATATGCCAGAAATTTGGAAAAGTTCAGATCTGGACTCCAACTTTATAGCTTGCCCATGTCTTTGTAATGGGCCAAACCAAAACCTAAATCAGAGCACCCCAAAATGTGCAAGAGTTCTGGATTAGGAATTGAATTTTGTGGCTTATATGGTCTGTCTCTCAAGATATATGATGCACGTACCCCCTTCATTATGCGCCTGCACTTCTGAGCAAAGCATTTAGAGTAGTGTAACTATGCTCCAGGTTTGGATTTGGATCTGGATCTAGATATGAAACACCTCTAAATTTAAGGGAATTCAAATCTAGGCTTTTGGTTCTAATGTATAATGAGAAAGGGGCTTTATAAAGAAAGTACTTATTAAAGGGTTACTTAATACTCTTAGGTGTCAAGATGCAATATTTAACATTTCTGTTCTGAGCATTATAATGGGAGCTGAGAATAATTATAAAGTGACATACTTCCATAAGTAGATTGTAGGCTGATGAGTAGTATGTGTAACAATTTAGTTACTCAGTTTGAACGGATGTTGCATGAAAGACACAAAATCTCTGGATCTTTTAAAATTCGTTTTTCATAAGTCCCCATATTTCTAAAAGTTGAATTAAATCCCTAGTAGTAATAAAAAAAATTGAATAATACAGCATGAAGTATTTGAATAGACTTTCAGTGCTTTTACCTTATCTCACTTCTGAACTGCTGCTGCAAAGTAACATAAGATGAAGTCTAATGCCATAACAGCATACCAACATTAAGAACTATGGATTTAAATTCCAAGGAAAGAAGGAGATGCAAAAAAGTCAAACGGTCCTAATGCTTTTGTATGAAAAAAAATTTCTATTCAGTCCTCAAGCCCACATTGTTTAGTAGAAAATTCTATTATGTTAAAGAAACCTTTTTTTAGATCCCTTTTCAGGAGGCCGGTATGGAAGAAAGCTGGAGGGAAAATTAACATAGTGGTGGGGAAAAATCAAAACTCTCTTGAATTCACCCCAAATCCCGAATCAGCTAACTATGATCTTTTGTAATCCGCTTCTAAGAAAGAACTAACAGTATAAATACTGAAGTCCTAACTTGGTTTGTACAAAGTCCCTCTTTTGGGCAAACTCTCATTGTAGTCAGTGAGAGTTTTGCCTGAGTAAAAGTTGAGTTAAGACCTCAAGAGTTGGCCCAATGTGAATGAACGTTCACCATATAAGAGTCATTTTTTTTAAAAAAAGCCCCATAAATATCTGAAGAGGAATCACATCTCAAGTGTTTTAGGTTAGAAATTCTGCAGTCCTGTTTTCCCCCAAACATTGCTCAGGGATTTAGCTTCAGTTAAAAACCTTGCGTAATGCTTTGGAAATGTACACTGCCTTCTAATGAAAAAGCATGCTGTAGTCTGTCTGATAACTGAAAGTGCAAAAGAGATCTCACTAAATGTTTTGGGTGGTATCATTTCATCACAAGCTTACAGCAATACTTTCGTTGTCCTCTTTTTGTATTTCCTTGTCTGCTGTGGCTGATTTTCAAGCGACTTTTTCCATTTCTAATTACCCTGTTCCTCCTGCCTGATTCATGTGGAAAACCCCACAATCCAACATTGCTGACCCCTTCACCCTTCAGTGCTTCTGAGCTATACTGACAAAATATTAGATTGTGTTATCACAGGAGAAAGTGCTAAAGATGGGAGAGGTGTGCTTATTCTAGAACCCCAGGTCTGAGTGCCTCTCACCCCTTACTTAACAAAACATTGGGGTTGTTTGTATCTGATTCCACATCCCTACTTCCCAGCTGTGGCTGGTCTCTGCCACAAAGAAGGTCCTGATTCTAAAGAGCAAACAGGAATCTTCTAGCAAAACTAAATATGTTGGCAAAAGTTGTGGAGAAAAGTGAAAAATAAAACATTAATTGCCTATGTTATGTGGTAAAAGCTTTTATAAGGAAGGAATTATTCAGTGGGAGGGAAATAGAGCAACACTATTTGATATTTTAATGAGAGTTTGCTATCATCTTTTGCCGTTCAATATTGCTTGCATACCTTTAAGGACAGGAGCCTGAACATGTGATGGGAATGAAGGATACATTTAAATCCTCCACATACCAAGCTGCAAAAACTGGATGGGCAATCATAAGGCTGCTTATGTCTGTGTATAATGACCTAATACGGAAGAATTAATTTTTTTTGACTGCATGGAATGGGGGTGAGTGGACAGGGAAGGTGGCAAATCACTAGAAAAACCCATGCCAGAGCTGGGAGGTGGGGGACTTTGAAACCTCTTCATTCTTCAGAATGGGCTTTTGTGTGCTTGGTGTCCCCCAGGAGAATGCAGAAGGAAAGGAGGCATGTCACAGATAAACAGGGCTTTGCCAGTGGGTCCAGGCGGTTGGTGGACCCACGCAGCAAATCTCTGCATGGGGCTGCATTTACTACTCCCTCTTAGGTCTCTCAATAGAAGCCAGAGGATTGCAGGTGTTAAAGTGCACTCTGAGGCTCATGACAAGTTGCAGTCCCTTCGTGTGCAGTTCCAGCCTTCTAACTTAGGATTTACACTGTGCCTCAGGATAGGGCCCTGAGTGTGAGTTTGAGCTGTGTGCACCTACACAGGTAGGGCCTGAACTGTACAACTCAGAAGATCTTTTTGAAAAAAATGACAGGTTTCAGAGTAGCCGCCGTGTTAGTCTGCATTCGCAAAAAGAACAGGAGGACTTGTGGCACCTTAGAGACTAACCAATTTATTTGAGCATGAGCTTTCGTGAGCTACAGCTCACTTTTCCACTGAATGCATCCGATGAAGTGAGCTGTAGCCCATGAAAGCTCATGCTCAAATAAATTGGTTAGTCTCTAAGGTGCCACAAGTCCTCCTT